ACCACATTTTATTAAAATTCTAATAAAAAAATTGTCGATTTTATTAAAATTCTAATAAAATATCGTTATTAATATGTTGTCAATTTTATTAGAATTCTAATATACAACATATTAATAACCACATTTTATTAACATTTTAATAAAATCTACACCATATTAATAACCGAAAATTTACCATACTAATAATTATTAATACGAGGGTCGTTTTTTAATTACCCGGACTAGGCAAGAAAACGAAATAGATTTTTGTTCATATATATTTATTTTTCAACATAGTCTCCACCCGAGGCGATACACTTTTCCCAGCGATGTTCTAACGCTAAGATTCCAGTTTTGTAGTGGTCGGCGTCAAGACCTCCAAAATACCCATTTACAGCAACAATTACTTCATCATCGTCGTTGAATCTTTTTCCTCCGAGCCATTTTTTGAGATTTGGAAAGAGGTGGAAATCGCACGGGGCTAAATCCGGTGAATACGCTGGATGCGGCAACACTTCGTATCGTAATTCGTGTATTTTTGCCATTGCAACGGCCGATTTGTGAGATGACGCATTATCTCTGTGAAAGAGAACTTTTTTCTTTTGCAAATGCGGCCGCTTAACCTTGATTTCATCGTCCAAACGGTCCAATAAAGTGGCATAATATGGTCCGGTGATTGTTTTACCACGCTCCAAATAGTCGATGAAAATAACACCGTGAGCATCCCAAAATACAGTGGCCATAATCTTTCCCGCCGATAATACCGTTTTTGCCTTCTTTGGAGCCGATTCACCTTTTTTAACCCATTGTTTTGACTGATTTTTTGTCTCTGGTGTATAGTGGTGAACCCAAGTCTCATCTGTGGTTATGAATCGACGCAAAAATTCATCAGGATTTGCTCGAAAGATTGCCAAACACTGCTCTGAAATGTCCATTCGATCGTGTTTTTGAAGCGGTGAAAGCAAATGCGGCACCCAACGCGCAGATAGCTTATGCATTTCCAAATGTTCATGCAAAATCTTAAACACCACACTGGTTGAGATGTGCAAAGCCTCTGCTATTTCACGCACCTTCAAACGACGATCATCTTTCACCATTTTGTAGACTTTTTTAATGTTTTCTGGCGTAGTCAACTCATTTGGACGACCTGACCGATGTTCGTCTTCACAGCTCGTTCTGCCCCTTGCGAATTCATTCACCCAAGAATACACTGTGGTTTTCGATGGAGCAGAGTCACCAAGTGTTGCATCCAATCGGGCTTTGATATCTTTGCCCGACATATTTTCCAAACAAAAAAATTTAATCACCGCGCGAATTTCGTTTTTTTCCATTTTTTCAATTTTACCAATTTTTCAACTTATGTATGCTCGTTGTAAACAAACCAATGAACCGATTGACATGAAATTTGAGAGGTCTTCCTAAATATGTCTGAAGTTGTACACAGTGTCAAAAAATATGGCACAGGGCTGTCCAAAATATGCGAGTCCGGGTAATTAAAAAACGACCCTCGTATGTTAATAAAATGCACTATATTTATTAACGTTAATAAAAAATTCATTTTATTAAAATATTAATAAATTATTAATATGTTAATAAAAAAATATGTTAATAAATTATTAATATGTTAATAAAGTGACAGCTGTATCTGGTATGAATGAAGTATCGTCAGAAAGCCCTTGGCTCATAGGCCCAGAAAATGCATTCAAACTTGGGAATCGACCAACCGTCTCCATAGATATGGCCACTTGAAAATTTGGAGCAGTTCTCAGTTTTTCCCATTTACCGGGGGGTGGACGCGGCCCAGTCATCTCAAACTTCTTTCTTTCTGAAGCTTCTCGTCGAGACCTTTCCAACAAGACCAAGAACGTCGAAATCGGACCATCAGTTCATGAGTTATGGCCGTTTATGGAAAATTTTCTTTGCCGTCTCCACCAATTATTCTGAGATAATAGTTTTGTCTGTGTGTCCGTCCGTCCGTAGTTTTTGTCCGATCTTTTTCAAACTTTCAGGCATTGAACTATATCAAAAACTAAGACTTTTTTGTTCCGCCACTTTTCGATTTGGCCGCCATCTTGGCCTTGGCCGGCATTTGAAAATTCAAAAAATGGCTTTCCTTCCAATGGCTACTGTGCCTAACCCTGTCAACCAATTTCAGACTTTTAGGTATCGTTGGAAGAGTCTAAACGCAGGCTATCAAACGACATCTATTTTAATTTGAAAAATTGAGTTGGCATGATTTTATGAGCAGTAGTCGTTTGACAGTTCGAAGCACTTGACGTGAATCGCAACTCAAACACATATTTTTAGTGAATTTCGTGAAATAAAAATAGTTTTGAATATCTATCTTGACTATCAGGGTCATTATCGAAAGAGGCCAACACATCACAATTCATTCAAGTTCAGGCAAATCACATCATTTTGGTGATTTTATTTCAAGTTTCTCAAGTGAATAAACTGTTGTGGTGCATTCTGTACGAAATACCTGTACCGGCGTTTTGACAGATAGCAACACGAAGCGAATTGTGAACAATCTTCGGAGTTTTTGAAGTTTGGATTTATTGGATGTATCTGACGGTGAGTCTGAACGACTTCCAGGTTAGTCCCAGTGTTTTGGTGATGTTTTGGTGCTCGAAAGTCACAAATTCAGTGTGTGTGTTCATTAATTTACATTTTATTGAGCACACACTACTGACTAGTACCAGCGACATCTATTGTCCGGGGTGGCAACTAAATCGCCAAAACCAAATCCAGCAATCAACTCATTCACTTTTCAATTGAATTTTACCATTCATTCATTTTAGAAATAAGCATGGATTCAAA